GAAGTTTGGAGAAATGCCTTTTTTCAGCTGTGAATTGCATCGGAGTTGTTTTTATCAACAGGACATAGCGTGTGGCTAATCCGATGATCCAGTACACACAGTCTCCACTTACTACTGTGCATTTGCATCCTTTGATATACGTGGAAAGACTAGTTTTAAAATCTGGAGAGGTGTGGATGACAGGGTTTGAGGAAAGAGAACATATAAGAGTGGAGAGAGAGTGTCAGGAACAAGTCCCAGCCTCTAGGATGGAGACTGGTCCTTAGCTGACCTCTATATATTAGATGTGAGCTAGAAGGAGAACTGGTGGGCATCCGTGTGGACTCTGGGGAGAGGCAGTACTGTATTAAGACTCAGGAGATGAAAAATAATTGTTTCTCTGCAAATCTTAGGAGCTTCTTTCACTTCAGTTTTGGGGCGTTGTGACCCTTGGCACACTGAGCATGGCAAATTAGTACAGGTCATCAACTGAAAGGATGGGATTCCTTCAGTAGCATCTCAGGTGATGGATTAGAAGGCAAAACAGGAGCAGAATAACATGTCAGATGGCATGGGGTGAGTGCCTGAAACAGTGCCTGGGGAGACTTTATGTGACCAGATCTATCTGGCGAATGTCCAGGGAAATATCTGAGGAAGTCATTGATTCCTCCAGTGCAAGAACTGTAGCCTGGTCTTGTGGGATGTGGACGTCTCTGACCAGCTGCCCTTTATTAGACTTCACAGGGTTTCAATCATGCTTCTCTTTAAATATTTGTCCTGTTCCCCTCTCTGCCAAATTGCTTCCTTTGCAAGGCTCCTGAATTGCTGTGACATCCACTCTGACTGGAGCTCTCCAGGTCCTGAGAGATCCAGGACCCAAAGTCAGCCACAAAATGTTCTGTTACTTTTACTGAAAATCCTTGAATAAGACAGGTATGGATGGACTCCAAATTCCAGCATATGTGCAGAGCTCAGATTCCCCCAGCACTCCACGGCTTACTGCTCCATGCCCTCAGTAAGAACTGAATATCAGTAAGGACTAGGGTTAGGCAGTTTTTATTCCTAATAACGTGTACAATTTGGTGATTGGCCAAAGGTGTGGACTGGGCATAGATCCTGTAGGTACAAGCAAGAGCAAGAATAAAAATGTGAATTTCTATTGTCCACGTGATCTCTATTGAATTCCCAAATGAATAAATCTCATCATATTTGGGTAATCCTGTCTGCTGATTTTTAGCATTGTGGGAATACTGGCTACAAAGACAATTTGGTCATTTTTCTTTTTTCATCTACAGATCCACCTGTTGTCTCAGGAAATATCGTATTTGCTATATAATAGGAAAATGATGATATTTAATGTGTAAAGTGTGAACAATTTGTTTATTATGAATGTACTGTTTTCTTGGTAATTAACACACATTCCCTCTCATCTGCAAAACAAGATATTTTTATCCTCTTCCTGCTGATGAGAAAATTGAAACTCGTGGACGTCAAGGACTTTCTATAAGGTCACATATCTATTATATGGAAAAAAATAATGGATCATTAAACTAAATCAGCCCAGTTCGAAACCCCTTACTTCCTCCAAAACAAGTTCTCTGAGAAACACTCTCCCCTCCTCACCAAACCTAAACACCAATCCACACAACGCCGTGCTGAGAGGTTGCACTTTCGGCGTTGCTTTACTTCCCTACGAAAAGAAGGAATTTCACGAATACGTTTCCACTCTCTCATTCCTCATAGTCTGCATCTTCCTAGACACGGCCTGACAAATATTAGACAAACTATGTTAGACCTAGTACCATGCAGGATTTTATTATACTAAGCAGGCATGAAAGTTGAGAGCGTCGTAAATATTAATCACAGACTAATGAACAGTGGGAGACTTCTGAATATCAATCTGTACTAGGGGGAAATTCTGAATTAGAGACACCACTTCCTGCCCAATAAATCAGTAGTGAAAAATTGGAGGCGTCCTCAGTGCGTCTGCTTATATAGCCAGATCTCGAGTCCTGCAGGAGCCTACAGTGCGGATGCCAACATGGATGTAATTTGATCACCCCCCGTGGAGCTTTTGCATTTTCAACTGAACCAATTTTTAAAAAATTTAATTACCTCCAAAAGAGGCTGGATGGTATCACAGAAAACTTGAGTACATTCTTCAGCATCAGTTAAAATAGTTGGAGAGTAGTTTGAGCATGCCCCTTTCTTCCTCTTTGGCATTCAAAAACCATTGCCCAAAGGGAGGAGAGGATGTGCAGTTAAGAGGAGAGCTGAAATGCCAAACCTTGATTGGCTTATGGCTTCTACTAAATGTGCACATTACTGTTTTTGCCTCTGAGCACACATACAGTGTATAACAGAAAGAAGACAGTATCTTCCATCATCATTCGTAATTCTGTCAAGGATACCAGCCACCATCATACGTCTACACACTTGCCTATCCTTAAGGACTGTCAGTGGGTGGAGAAGCATCCTTTCCTAGAGTCCAAGTTCATGATTTCCCAACACAAGTAAGAGAATGGGTGATGATATTTAGAATTTTATATTTTTGATTCTGATACACAAAAAAATAATAGGATTCAGTTTTCAATTTGAGGAGCTTTTTTCCTTCTTAGTTTTTGACATTCAGGTAGCATTTAATACCTACACCAGGTATTAAAATTTTAATGGGGACATTAAGAGGTGTTTGTTAGCAATGTAAACGTCTCTTCATACGATTGTAATCAGGGCTGAAATTTTATCCTGAAAAAGTAGAGCGTGAGTTTTGTTTACTGAAAGGACACAAGAAAAGAGAAAGGTCCAGGAAATCAGCCAGAAATGGTGCATGTCATTCTGAAATACACTAGAATGATTATTTTCACAATAATTACCTTCTTCCATTTCAAGTATATATAGCAAAAGTAATAGTTACAAAGTCAGTACTAGTTTAGCAGAATCCTATAATTAAGCATTAATCCCTAACAGTTTTTCAGTTTTTTTAATCATTCAAAATATGTAGACCCATTGAAAGCAGGGTGAGTAACTTTTGCTCTACAATATATTCCCGGTGCCTTATAATAGGTGAAACCTGTCTGTTTGGCATAATGAAAAGATCCTAGCAGTTGTTCAATAAACATTTTAAAATATTTTTAAAGGAGTAGTTTTTCTTTTATATGGAAGAATTTGCACTCTCTCTAATAACAACAAAGAATCTCTTGACAAATATTCAAACATATATAAACTATAATATGATTTTGTAATTATATGTAATATAATGATGTAGAAGCAGTTATAGTCTTTCTTTTTACTTTTTAAAATTTTTAAATTGAAGTATAGGTAATTTACAATGTTGTGTTAATTTCAAGAAGCAATTACAGTCTTATGTCTATTTTAGTAAAACATTTGTGCTTCTGCATTTGATGTCTTCCACAATTACAACACAAGATTGATTTTTTGAGAATATTCTTCTTATTTTTTCTACAATATTAAGTCTGAGTTTATTTATATTTTGAGTTTACCAGATGCTTATATTTGAAATTTTAAGGAGCTGTTACACTGAATGCACCATATTTCTGTATTATGTGCATAAACTATAATTTTTTTTTACAAAAATAAAACTTTGTATAAGAATTAGCATACTGAAAATGAATTGCACAGGTGATGATAATATAATCGGCTATCTGTAGAATTTGTTTTATTTCACTTTGTCTTAACACTCACAATAAAGTCATCTTAAATTTTTTTTTTCCATTTAGGAGCACAGTCAATGTGACAATATTTCTGAGATCTTTATTTTTAATGATCTTTTGGAAATATTAGCAGGTGCTTTAATCAATATGACTAAAGAATCAAAAGTTCTTTACTTTTCATATTCTGTTGGCCAATATGCATTTTGGATATTTTCTGTATAGTAGTTTCTATCTCATTTTATCTTATTTAATCTACTTATTAATAGGAAGCCACTGGTGTTATAGGTCAGGGTTTCAAAATATATTCATCCTTGTCACAGGGACTTCTGATAATTTACAGGTGGCATTCAGGACAAATGCTATGAAAAGCATTGAAGTAATTAGAGACACCACCAACACATTAAAATATATGTTTATTTTTAAATTGACTTTAATGGAAAAATGCCATAAATTTCCAAAGTTCATCATTGTTCATTATAAGGTAACCAATATAATGCAGATATATCATTAAAAATGATAACAATATTATCAGGACAAGGATGAAAATTTTAACTTGTATTTAAAATTTATAATAAAATAAATGTCAAAATCATAAAGATAGTTAATCAAGGTGATCCTAAAATGTAATAAACAGAAGTCTAATAGTTCTGTACCCCTCCAAAATCTGCATCTGTTGAGGTAGTGAGGTTAATTAAAATGAGAAATTATGGACAGTTATCTAAATAGTGACGTCAGATTTATTTGATACTCATAAACAATATAAGCAGCAAATGAAGTTAGCGAAAGCGATACATGTATTTTTTTTAATTTTGAAAATTTTTGGAGGGGAGGTAATTAGGTTTATTTATGTATTTATTTAATGAAGGTGCTGGGGATTGAACCCAAGACCTCAGTGCCTGCTAAGGACAAACTCTACCACTGAGCCACACCCACCCCTCTTATGCTCAAGACATTTATTCTTGCTGGCTTTTCTAGCAGTTAACTAAGCTTATTCAATATCAAAAAGTTTAGAGAAAAGCAAAATCATGTTTCCTTGTTTACCCTCTATGGTAAAAGTAAAACTTCGTTGTTCCAATTAACCAGATCTATCGCTTTTAATTATTTTGCTTTCTCCAGCACGAGTTATAATCGTTTGGCTGTAATGAAAGGGTGACCTAGAGGAAGAAGGCGGGCAGCACAGTTTCAAATGAATTCCAACACGATCGTGACACCTGCCAATTAATGTGTGGGCTGGGACAGCCCACGCCCCCAGCCCTCGCCCCACCCCCAGTGCGTTTCCCGCCCCCAGTTCATTTCCTTATTGTATCCACTCTGTAGTGATCTGTCTGACTCTGGTTTTCATCTTTTCAGGTTCGGATTTATCCTTCATAAAGATGAAGCCGCACTCCAAAAAATTGACCTTGAAACCATGTCATACATCAAGACGATCAACCTGAAGGACTACAAGTGCGTCCCGCAGTCGCTGGCCTACACGCACCTGGGAGGGTACTTCTTTGTTGGCTGCAGACCCGACAGCACTGGGGCGGTGCCTCCGCAGCTCGTGGTGGACGGTGTCACCGACTCCGTCATTGGCTTCAACAGCGACGTGACGGGCACTCCGTACGTCTCCCCGGATGGGCACTACCTCGTCAGCATCAATGACCTGAAAGGCCTCGTGAGGGTCCAGTACATCACCATCAGAGGGGAGATTCAGGAGACTTTTGATATCCACACAAACCTGCACATATCTGACCTGGCCTTTCAGCCGTCCTTTACGGAAGCCCACCAGTACAACATCTACGGCAGTTCCAGCACCCAGACCGACGTGCTTTTTGTCGAGCTCGCCTCGGGGAAGGTCAAGATGATAAAGAGCCTTAAGGAGCCTCTCACGGCAGAGGAATGGCCTTGGAACCGGAAGAACAGGCGAATCCAGGACAGTGGCTTGTTCGGTCAGTACTTGATGACCCCGTCCAAGGACTCTCTCTTCATACTAGACGGACGACTCAACAAGTTAAACTGTGAGATCACTGAAGTCGAGAAAGGAAATACAGTCATTTGGGTCGGAGATGCCTAGGAGTGCTGGTAAATAACCACTGAATGAAGGGTTGTCCAGTACGCCGCACTTAATCCATTGTTTCAATTTACAGCTTAACTTTTCAAGTTTATAGCCGAGTCAAACATAAGTTACTTGGTCGGCCCAAATAAAATAGACATTGTTTTCTGGCAAAGACATACACAATTAGTACTATTGGTTGATTAGAAACGTTTAACACAATATTTATTGGGAAACCATATCAATCACAAGAATCAAATCTATAGCTATGTTTAAGCCAATAAACTAGAAATTTAAATACTCCAGAATAACTCAACTGCAGGGAATTTCAAATGACTTTAAGCACCATTTCATTCTGAGGGTGGTTTAGCTATTTTTTTTTTCTCCATTATTTTGCTGTGCTTAAACCAGAAATAAAAGGTATGGAACCTTGAAATTCTTAAATCAAAAAATTCTGTCCCATCCACTGTTTATAATCTTTTGTGCCTTGAAGGGAATGTCACAGGAGGAAAAGGAAGGCTAAAAGCTGCATATTGAACACCTGCATACCCATAAATATCTTGTCATTAAAAGAGAAAAGTCTAGCAAAGTCTAGCATCTTTTGCACCAAACCCAGGCTTGGGTCATGTGTTCAACCCTCAATGAGCTATCAGTTGAAGACACAAATTGGCCTTAGGTTGTACACAGGTGACAAACTCTATTTGACATTCATTGTACAATCTGCAGCATGCTATGGAAAATGGGGAGGAAGGGAGGAAAACAATTATGGGAAAATGTTTGCAAAGTACTGTCCACTCAAACGTTGCTTTCAATCACAAGAGCGCGTTATATTTTTAATGCAAGTTTGTCTGGGATGTCAGCTGCTTAAGATTGTCTGCTGTTAGCAGAAGAGATTTTTTTTTTTCCTTTCAGGTAGTCCAGTGTTGCATCGGCAGGAACTTTCATTTCTAAAAAAAAAAGAAGCATTATTTATGTCTGCTTAGAGTAAACCAAATAGGGAAATAACAACCGGGAGAAGAAAACTGGCTAGAGGACTGACGAGCATCAGCGGGTTGGGAGGATGCGCGTTAGAACCTGGGAGTCGGGGGACAGCGCCACAGTGGTGAGGAAGGATGTGCTTCTTCATTGCCACTGCTGTTTAAATATCACCCTACAAAGGACCCCCTTCTTTATTAACTTTCCTAAATGACTTCTGTTTGACTCCTACATAATCCTTAAATGACTCTCGCTGACTGTGTGTAGTTCAAAACCTAACTAATCCTCTTATTTGAGACACTGCATAGAGGTAAAAATGATTGTTTCTCTTTTTCAGGGCAAAGAAGAGGCCAGTAGAAGTGGATTAAAACTAGCGAGTAGGTTCATTGCAATAAGCAGATAATTATACAGGCTTTAAGTGATAGCTTCCATGTTTTGAGAATCTTTTTGTTTATGTTTTTTTGTTATTGTTGCTAAAAATGCTAATGAGCTGTTGAAATGACCTCCATTTATTGAAGGTAATCCAATAAGGTCTTTTTTTAATACAAATTTTTCTCAAGGTTGTGTAAAACTGCTTAGAAACCTGAACTTTTCTAATGTGTCATATCTTACGTGTATATAGCATCCTGAGCTGTGTGATACAGTAGATTTCTTCTTAGCTTAAGGACACATAATGGGAGGAGATGTAAAAAAACAACAGAAATCAGCTTACGTTTCTACTTCTCTGCTTTCCTTTTTAGCAAAGTTTCTCCTTTGTGAACATGCACCATCTGCAGTGTCTGTGCCCTAATGATTTAATGGAAGTCTGTCTCAAACACCCTTCTTTGGTAGCTTACACCACGTGGATGCTCTGTCTGTAGACATTGCTTGATAAAAGAATAAACCTCTTACATTTTAACCTGTGAGCGTTCCGTCAGTCTTTTAACGCGCATTCCAATGTTTCCTTCTGTTTTTCCTTCCAGTGGTCTGCATTATTTTGAAAGTGATGGGATACAGTAAAGGGCAGGTAATGTGAGCTCAGTCAAGAAAAGAATTTAGTTTGTTTTCCTCTATCAATCTTGAGTCACTGTATGTCTTCATATTCATGTTTAAAGCAAGATACCTATCCTTGTAAAGTGTCTGTTTCTTTAGAATCCCTTCTCATGTGTTAAAGGAATGAATGTCGGAATGGGATACTAAAAGTAGACTCAAATCCTTTTCTTTCTACATCTTTACATTAACAGCCATACAAATATGGAGCCATTTTTTAAAAATTATTGTAATATTTAAAATATTGACATTTGTGATTCTTTAAAAAAGAAGGAAGTGTAATATTACTGTACAATATTTTCTAGAGTAGATATTTCTTTCTTCAATGATGGGAAAAAGAGTAAGAGATGGCATATGGGCTATCAACATTACTCTATACACATCTGATAAAAGTATGTTGCAAATAATGATTTCATCAGTATCTTGAGGATGTGTAAAAACTGAAAGTCAAGAAAAATTAGGATAAAATGATGAGGTCACTGCTCTAAAAAGCTCTAATATCAAAGAGTCAATTTTTAATAGGCAGAAGAAAGTAGTGAAGTGATAACAAAAACGTGTGAAATGATATTTTTTACTGTAAAATTAGTGATAATTTTGTGATAGCCATGAAGGAATGAAATTAGAAAAGGGGCAGAACCAAGGGTGGAAATAAGATGTGGGGAGGTCCTTGAGCAAAACTGACTGGAAAAGGTAAATATGTATGTAAAGAAGATGATACTGATAATTCAGGAAAAATGGATTATGATTGGATTTTGGAGGGAGGGAAGTGGAGAATGAACTTAAAGAGTTTGGATTTATTCCAGATAATAGGAACTCAACAATAATTTTTTTTAAAGGCAGTGACAACAGCACTTTTAAAATGTATTATTTGCCAATGGAATGGAGATATGACTGCAGGAAAGGGAAATTAGAGCAAGAGATGTCACTCAGGAGGCTACTGCAAAAAAAAAATGTAAGTTTGTGGTCTTTAATACATGACAATTAAATGGCAAGTATGCATTATAAGACAGAGCGTGCTAAGAAACTATATAACTTGAAATAACAACTGAATAAATGTGGATGATAAAAAGAGACAAACACAACAGGTCTCAAATGTGACATCAGTGATAAAAAGAAGGAAACCAGCAAAGCAGCAGACTTACGTGAGAGGAGGAGGATTTCGATAAAGGACAAATGAAATGAGAATCCTGGGCAATGGAACAGATTTCCAGAGATGTGTCATCATGTGGAGCAAACCAGTACAATTCTCAGGTGTCGTTCCACCTCTTTTTAATGATGTAAAGTAGAAGCAATTTTTTTTTAAAGTGCAATTTTAGAAACCTCTCACCTTTATGCCTCCCACTCAGAAGTTCTTCTCAGTGTTTTCCTTTAAAAAAATAAGTGAACTTGACTGGATTTTACAGGATGAAACAATACATTTAATCATCTCTGACAGCTTGTCATATTATGTAAATTTTTAAGTGAGAAAAAATTTAAGAAGAATATGGTTATCATACAAATTAGTACAACTTTAAAATGAGATGAAAACGGACACCCCAATGTTACAACCTTAAGAACTCATTAGGGGCCACTTCTAACGCCACTTGTCGACACATCTACCATTTAGATTTATCCAAAATCTATTTTCACTTTTACTCCAAACCCGCTCTAGCATCATATGCCTCTCCTTGGAAACCATGCACAGAAATATGATCTGAAAGTCATGCTATAGAAATTTGTACCTGCAGTCTTGAGTCATGGTAACCTTCCCCGTGCCCCTAGATGGCTAAATCTTAACCAAAACATGTGAGCATGGTTTTGTTAGTTTGCATTTAACAAATGATATACTCCATTAGTAACTGGAAAAGCACACAGGTCAACAGTAATATTCATCAACAAAATTTAATAATGAACTTGGACACAAGTCTCAAAACATTGAGAATTTCATCGTTACTGAAGTCTTGTATAAAAGAACAATGGTTAGAACTTTGCTAATTCACCAACTGTAAGCTGCACACTACTGTAAAATATTGTAAAATATACTGTACAAAAAAGCCATCATATTCCACAGAGACAGGATGCCAGATATAAGATTCTTGACTGAAAGCTTTTTGGGCGGGTTTGTTGTTGTCATTGTTTTTAGCAATTTGAACATGTTATCCCATTAACTTTCAGCCTTCATTTTTTTTCTGATGAAAATGCGGATTCTCTAGGATTCTCATGTATGTGACATGCTGCTTTCAAAATCTATTTGTCTTTCAGTATCTTTACAATTATATATCTGGGTTTGGATTTCTTTTTGTTTCAACAACTTGGTCAATATCAAGCTTCTTTGATGTGTAGATTATTGCTTTTTATTATGTTTGCATGTGTTTGGCAATTAATCATTTTAAAATCACTTTTTTCCCTCTCTCTGTCCCTCTTCCTCTGCCATACTCATTTTGTGTATACTGTTATGATTAATAAATAGTATCACACGCTTCTCTGAAGCTTAGTGCATTCTTTTTATTCTTTGCCTCTCTTTTCTTTGGATTTCATGTCCCCATCTGTCTTCAGGTTGGTTGACTCTTTCATCTGTCAATTCTAATCTACCGTGCAACCACTCTAGCAAATTTTTATTTTCCTTTATTGAAATTCTCAACTCCAGGATTTTTATTTGTTTAGTTCAAATCAGTTTAATTTATATTTTGTACTTGATAAGGCATTATATCATCATATCTTCCTTTGCTCTTTAAGAATTATTTCCATTCTTTCTTTGACCCCACTTACGGTGGCCACTTTGAAGACTTTGCCTATAAATTCAATAACTGAATCACTGAGTGGGCAGTTTCTGGTGTATCCTTTTGTTTGAGACTCACTTTCCTGTTTCTATGGATGTACCATAGCTTTTTGTTGAAAACAGTCACATTTTAGATAACATATCAAGTCTAGCTATCTGCTCT